TCAAACCTTATCATCCAGAAAGATAGAAACTTTCCTTTGGACAGCTTGAAAATCCTTTTGGTTTAGATCTAGTGAACTTGCTGTGAATCATCAATTTTAAATGTTTCTTACCATAAGACCATAAACTTTAATTTATTATATGTATGTATCCTTAAATGAAATATTCGTAATTGCTGACTGTTTAATGTTTCGCAAAAATCATTCACTTTTCTTAGAAACCAGAACTAAAAACAAATTATAAAAGGGTGCACTAAAAAGAGAAATAATTCTTCTAAAATATCTTTCCTATCAAATACTCCACTTCTTCAATGTTCGCATAATTTTCAGTGCTTGTAAGTTAGGTTGTCTCTTTTGGAATGTGATATGTAATCATACTACGTATTTCCCCTTATTTAATGTATAACTTTTAAAGATTTCTCTACGTACTGTGTATTTAGTCTAAATGTAGAATGTCGGCCAAGAGAGCACTGTGGTAAGCAGGTATCCAAATATTTTCGTACATGCAAGTGTACATGCATGCTTGTAGCGCAGATTGTTGGTCATAACAGTCACTAAGTTCCTTTCGCTTTACCTACCTGTTGTCATTTACTTGTGGTGTCACATGTGCTTTCTTATGGGGAAATGTCCTGTAAGATTAAACTTTCAATCTAGAAGTTGACAGTTATCTTTTCCACTGACAAGTCAGGTGATTCCCTAAGGATGAACCTCTCTTATTTATTTATGGTAATGACCAGCAGTAACGTGGGTAGCGCATGCGCCCTGAGAAGAATAACATTATTGTTTAATGTATATAACGTTATGTTTCTCAGGCTGGAACAGATCTTACACACCTAACCACAGATCAAAAAGTTCTCAGAGGTTTTAATAGTTTTTACCTCTAGTAAAGGCGCCATCTCTCACACGTTTCTTTTGTCTGAATTGTTTTGAGGGCATTAAATATAGTTATTCTTATTTTACTAAACATTATGTCCAGATTCTTTCATTGTTCAAACTCAGTAAAAGTAAAATATTCAGATTTGCTCCATAATACATTTCTGTTAAACCTCCTCTTATTCTGCGGAACATACTGATTACTTTTATGGTAAATCAATGTGCACCTGATAATACATAGAATAGATAGGAAGAAGAAAATATGGTGCCTGCAGGATTTGTTTTTGAGGAGTTTTCTGATTTCGCCTGATGAGTGTATTCCCTGCACTCTTCTTAACTCTTAACTTATTAAATTTGAAAACTTTGTAATTAAGAAAATGGCATTTATTACGAATCAAAGGACTTACAAAAAGGGGAAAGAATCAGTCAATAAGAGAAGCTGGTGGTTTTAGAGAGTAGCCATATCTTGGAGATTTCATATGTTTGTTGATTTTTGCAAAGATCCACGACTTCTTCCTTACTGCAACCACAGGAAAGAGAGTTATTGCCAACTTAGTTTTTCTCCTGAAGCTCAATATCAGTTGGTGTGAGACACAGATGACTGAGGGTCATTGAGGTGGTCCGATGAGTCCACTCTAGACTGAATAATGGTTCCTTAAACAGTGGTGCCTTTTTGTATATACTGTAATTAGTCCTTTTAATTTTTAAATATATATTAAGGATATTTAAGGGTTTTTTTGTATTAACTATTTTTCCATGTTTGTTTGTCACAGGTGATTAAACTAAAGAATGTGAATATGTTTCATCATCTATAGTTTATTTTTGTTAAATGTTTTTGTGTACAATTATCTTTTCTTTTCTTTTTTTCTTCTTTTAGGGTTCACTTAGTGCGTGTTAATAATCCTACATGGCCACTTTGGTGTATATGTATCTTTCGAAAAAGTGTTTTGTTGTATATCTTAATATTTATTCTCAAAGAATTTATTGTAGTATGTTATGTTTTTAACACGCGGTTATTTTATTTCATATTTTTAATTTTATATAAAAAATTGTTTTACGTCATTTTTTGCAACCCAAACGAGTTTGCTTTCTATTAAAGGGTGTTTTATGCTATGTTACTTTATGTTTAAAAGATACTTGTTACTTTCTATTTCTGATTTTATGTTAAAGGATATTTCTCTCTTTTTTTGTAATTAAGATTATTTATATATTGTGACTTGCATCTTATGTTAGAGTTGTGTTGCTGTATTTTATTTAGTATTGGTTTTATGTATCATAGTTTTGTAAAGTTGTATCACTTTTTTGTATCACTTGTATGTGTTCCACAGTAAGTTTGTTACAAGGGTTAGAGTAAGTTACACCAATTTCTTGTCCAATGTACAAGATGTTTCCGTTTGTTATTATATTTCAAAGTTAGAAACGGCCGAGACGGTCTTGAGATAGAAGCAGGGAGGAAAAGTATGGTGTGCACTTTGGCATTTGAAAGATTCCTGTAAAATGTAGCAATCTATGTAGAAGTCTACAGTGTTTTGTTTGAGTGTGTTTTTGTTTTCTGTTTCATTAGAAGTTCAAGCAATTCCTCGAGGTTACAATCTCACTCTTTTTTATTTTGCAATGAGGGTAACCGTTAGTTCTGTGGGTAGAACTTGCATTCTGAGTATTATTGTCTTGTGTGTATATAATGCTAAGTTTTCTCAACTGGGACAGATTAAACACACTTCTGAGAACTTTCCACTGAAGACTCCCAAAGATACACTTATTTAAACTTTGATTGTTCTTTGAACATAATAAAGATGATTTCATTGTGTTGTACACTGTGTAAAGTCTCTTTCCTTTCCTTCAACCCAGTTGAAATCGAAGACTTGATATTTACACTGTTATACACCTTCTGTCGGATATTCTGTTATTCTGCGGAACTTACCCGATTACTGTAAGGCAAATCAGTGCACCAGAGAATACCACACCAATATTATTGATTGTGGAAAACAATTCATCATTTTTCTCCCGTCTGACTGAAACTAGTCCAAGTATTAGAAGAATAGGTTATTATTATTATTATTATTTTTACTTTTACTGTGTATTTTCTTCTTTGACTGTTAAAAGTTTGGAACTCTCACAACGGCTCTGAACAACGCGAAAATGATTTACATTCTGATATTTACTAAATTTATATTGTAATTCAGCATATTACATTAAAAATAACACTCCTGCTTGGAAATTTTTGAATGATGCAAATAAAATGAACATTATGAATTAATGTTAACTTTAATGTTTTTATGATAAACATGTCTTTATTTTATTTGGAACCAAATTTATGTGTGTGTGTGTGGTTTTTTTTTCTTTCATGAGTTCCATTAATATTTTGAGATATGATATCAGCTCAATTTTTTTTCGTGTTAGTTATTGTAGTTTGTTTAAGCCACCATTACGAAATGTCATCTTTGTTATAACATAATTTTACTACTCAAATTGTTCATACTTATGATATTTTTCAATTGTAGTGTATAAAGTAGTCAATAGATGGTAGCAGCTATGTCTTTGCATATTGGGGATTTGGTGCTATGTAGAAACAGTATCTATGGCTAAATCGTTACGTGATAAAAAGTGTCGATTACTTAATCAGGTTAAAAGATAAATTTCAAATTCTAGATGTGTGCGAACCAGCTTTTACGTTTTCTTTAAAAAAAAATTAACTAGTGGGGAATGCTGTCAATGACTCATCGGTAAACTCAGGAATTCGAATGAGAAAATGGCGAGTTCGATCCTTGCTGTAGGGCGAAATTGTTCAACTTTTACCTTAGCAACTGTTACGCCTCCGTTCGTTTGTTAATTTTCCGTAAAAATTCTTTCCGAAGAAATTTTAGCGATACAAGTCCTTTCTTAAGTAAAACTGGCTTATTCTCTCTGAATACAACTTTGCAATACACTTAATTTCCACAGTCACGCTATAACAAACGCTATAATTCACAACGAACGTCTCACGTGCTCGACTCAACAATACGTCTCTCTCTGTCCGCAGTTCAATTACGCATTGTTGCCGTCAGTTCTTGGCGGCAGATATACAAGACTACCGCATATCTAGTAGCCTCTCGAGGTTTCATGAACGTTCTAGAAGCGCATGACGTGTTACAAGAGTCACGTGACCTCCGCTGTCGTAACACAACAAACAAAGTACTTGTGTAAATATTTATTGCAAAGTTAAAAGTATATTCATTCTTGATGTTTTAAATTGTTTTTGTAATTAATAAATTCAGCGCACGTAACTCTTAAGTCCTGAATAGTCTTCTGTTATCCTCTTTAAAATTTAATTGACGGTTAGATCTTGCTTGTTTTGAGATTGAAACCACAGGTATTTTTCGTTGTAACTTTAATTCAGATCTAAAAAAACTGCCTCAGTGGAATAGCGGTATGTCTGCAGACTTACAACGCTAGAAACCGGGTTTTGATGCCCACCACGGGCAGAGCACAGATAGCCCATTGTGTAGCTTTGTGCTTAACTTCAAACAACAACTAAGAAACTTACAATTTTAGAACTTATGAAGAAAAATTGTATTGTGTATAATTTCAGTAATTCTGAATAAGAAAGCTAATCAAAGAAAGACCTGTAAAATCAACAATACAAAAGTAATTTTTATGTTATGAGCTTAATTTTGTTATGGTTCTATAGTTATGCTTAATTCCTCACTTTTGTATATGTCAAAAAATGAATTTATCTATAGGAGCTTTTTTATTTGTTTATAACACTTTTTTAGTTTAAAACAGATTAAAAATAAATAAAAATAAGCTTTGATATGATCTGGCTTTAATAGAAACTGGATTTTGAAATTTAACGAAAGTTCAAGAATTCATTTCTGTTATATTGTAAATCCTCCAGTGTCACAGCGGTAAGTCTGTAGACTTATACCGCTAAAAACTGGGTTTCGATACCCGTGGTGACTACAGCACAGATAGCCCATTGTGTAACTTTGTGCTTTAACTAAAAACAAATTAAATTTATTATAACACAAAACGTATGAATTTGGCATGTTGAAAATATGGAAAATTTAATAAAAATTAAATATTTGAAAGACTGTTCTGATACTGCTGACCTCTTGTGGTTTCAGTGCAAACAATCATGAATGAAATAAAGGCATTAGGACTAAGCTAACATGGCGACTAATGATGATGAGCCTATGCATTTATACGAAGTCTTTCAGAACTGTTTTAATAAGATAGCAAATAAACAGCAAGGTATGTAACTATTTTTGTAATTTTCTATATTTCGTTGTTTATTTATTTGTTGGTAAGCTAGAGTGATAAGAGTCTGAACAGAGTAAGTCGTTCGCTGTCATCATTATATAGTACACTGACTCGGTAACTGAGTGTTTGAACACGATGTCAAACAATGCCCCAAATAAACAGAATAGTGTTTGGAAGCGAGAACGTTTTGGATATCGAAGAAATCGTATAACACACACACAAAATGTATTGCTATATCTTAGTAAAGTAGTATTGATTTTATTGAATGTTTAAACATTGAGTACATAATCGGTAGGAAACTTGATATTTATACAATAATAGAATAAATCATGTTTGTTTGAAGCAAAACTTAAAAATGTTACTACTTTACTAAAACTAAAAATACTGTTAGTAAAGTAGTAACATTAGCTATCGTGATTAAATTAGTACATTTGCTGATTTACCCTTTTGATAATTTTCTAGTTATGTTAATGTACAGAACAAATATAGACTAGTTTTTGCAAGTTCATCTGTCATGTCGGTAAATGCAGAGAAAGCATTGTATTTACAGAACCAAACAATTCTGTATTACAGGGGATCTGATTGGGGTTTTTTAAGATTAAAGGAATTAATCATCACTACACCATCTGTTTTCATATTTAATGGTGAGAGTGGTAAGAGTAGGGGACACAAATATAAATTTTGGCAAGATAGGAGTCATCTTCAGCTAAGGCATCTCTATTTTTTAACAGGGTGATTGAGGTTTTGGAATGAGTTACCTTCAGATGTGGTAAATGCAGTTGTTAAGAGCAGTTTATGACTGTTTGAATTGTAAGGGCTGGCTTTGAATGTTTTATCTTTATTTTAGAGTTTAGTATAGTGGATAAGATGGCCTAGATGGACCAACAGTTCTTTTGTTGTCATTAACTTATATGTACATGTATATTTATATATAACAGTTAAAATTAATTTACATGTAATTTTTAAATTTATTATTGTTCTACCAGTAACTAAAAAATGTAATAAAAACATTGTTTATTGATATTTTTTCATATTCAAATGCTCAACAGTATTTAGTATTAACTTTTATATTCAAATACATTAATGTTCTAATTGAAATGACAAATTTAGTCTGACTGGTATTAATAAACTCTGACACATAAATACACATTAAATAATAGAATTTACATGTCCTTTTAAAATGTCTGTAGATTATTTGAGAAATACATCTCACTGTCAAGTTAAAATTTGATTTTTATATCTGTAATTTATGCCTAAATATAAAATGTCAAGGAACTATAATGAATTTTATTTCCAAATTGCATTTATTTTTTATGGAGTCATTCTGTTATTTAAATTTTTTAGTGCAAAACAGTGAACATTAATAAAGAGTACTGAATATTTTACTGACAGCTGTTGTAGTCACTTCAAGTTAGTAAGTCTTGTGCATAACACTCTGTGGATCATTTAGTTTTTGATAACTGGTATACCAATAATTTTTCTAATATTCACAAGGTACTACCTAGGTAAGATTAATGATAAATGTTCACACATGTGAACAGGCTTGCCCTCAGCATTAGTGTGTTGAAACAACTTAAGTTTGTGTGTTGTTTCATTCATTTATTGGTACATACAGCAATCTAGTTACAACTCGGTCATTATTTCACCAGTGACAGGGCAGACTCGTTTATTCATTAATTTCAATAGCAGCAAGTTTTTCCTGCATGTCCTTGAAATAATAGTGGATATATATATACTCTCAGTTTCAGAGAAAACCATTATAAGCCATCAACTTAACATGTAATATTAATTAGTAGCTAATTTGCATTATTTTATGCTCATTGTTGCAATTAAGGGAATGATAAAAATAATGGCTTCGGGGTTATTATATACTAAAATTCATTACCATGTTCCAAACCTTATATAGATTCTCTTTGGTAGCTGTGCTGATGTGAACTAACCTTGTGTGATGTTATTGAATTTAAGGTACAAAATACCTTGAATAGTGGAGGTACTGAATTGATGAATAATACAATCATCTTAAAGTATTTAGGAACAACATAAATTAACCTATATAGATGATTTCATAATTCTACTTTAAATTATAATTTTAAAGCCATTTATTTCAATATATTGCCAAAATGAGTTAATCTGTTATTCTTTGTACACTAACTGAAATGCAATACACATTCAAACTAGCTAATAGGACGCTTGTAATTCATTGAAATTAAGAATAACCTACTGAGATATGAATACTTCTCATTAATTAGTCTTTCATATTTCAGTCATGTTTTTAGTAATGAGTTATTAATGTTATATCTTTTTATTTTAGTGATTATTTTGGATTTACAGTTTTAAACTAATTCCAGTGAATAAACCATAAAGAAAGAGCTAAAAAATTCTATAGAGAAAACACCATTCTGTATCATTTTAGATGCTTGTTTGAGTGTTGTTGTTTTTTATTTTGTACCTAATGATCTTTTACTAGTTTGATGTGTGTGTGTGTATTTGCATAGAAAAGTGCATATATCACAGGTGTGTATGTTTTGAAGAATTATAAAGTTTGATGATCATATTTTTTCTAATATATTGTTATAATACATATTACATTCATGAACATATTTCTGACATGGTTGGCTCTTAAAAAGTATAAGGGATAAAATTAAAGAAAGTATTATAAATGTATGAAGTTTAAATGGACTGCTATGATGAGAGACTTAGAGATTTATAGAAGATCAAGTGAGCTGGTCAGACAAGACAATAGGCAATTGAAAAGAATATATGGAAAAAAAGATTTTCTGAAAATGTAAAAATTATAGTAAGTATTTCTTTAACTACATTTCGAATAAGTAAAATGTTAGGATGGGTACGGCCTTTGGGGAATGGCAAAGAAAGGCTCATTTGTGACAATTATGAGATGGCTGGATTATTAAATTCTACTTTTTTCTTCAGTGTTTACTAATGAAGCTTGTTAAGAAAAAGTTGAAAAATCTAAACAGTGATAAGACTCCTGAGCTAGCTAGATAATATTTCCTCAAAGGTTTCCAAAGAGATGGACTGGATATTTGAGCCACTTGCTTTTATTTTTGTAAGTCTTTGAACAGTGGGTGGCACCAGAAAGTTGGTTAATGTTACTCTGCTTTTCAAGAAAAGGGATGAAAATTTTCTGGGTAGTTATAGGCCTAATAATCTTACATTAATGATGGGAAAATTTTTGAATGTCTGATAAAAGATGCTTGGCAAGTTAATTTAAAAGTTTGCAGTTTTGTTTGATAGTCAGCATGGTTTCAGTAGGGGAAAATCTTACCTTGCTAATCCTTTGAAGAGGCTATTAGTTTTTATATTAGGATAAAGGCATAGATTTGGTGTATCTGAATACTCAGAAAACATCTGACAAAGTACCACATGAAAGGCTTGTTAAAAAGTTATAGGTGTGAGAGATGAGTTGAATGGAAGAATGCTGAAGGTTGTTATATGTGAGGTTCATTCAAACTATTGATGTCCCAAATGAGGTACCTCAAGAGTCAGTGTTAAGACCTTTGCTCTTTTTGATTTGATAAATGACATAAATAAAGGAATGATTAATAACCTGTTTAAACTTGCTGATGGTATAAAGAGCTTGGGTGTTGCTGGCTGTGAGGAGGATGCTGCTGCTTTACAAAAGGATTAAGATTATTTGGTAAATTTGACAAATAAATAGGAGATGGCTTTTAATTGTAATAAATACTAGATAATGCATGTGGGTTATCATAACTTACAATTTTGATCGGAACAACCTAAACAGTTATGAAAGAAAAGGATCTTTGTGTTTTGGTTGATCAGTCTCTTAAGCCAAACAAACAGTGTGCTGTTTCTAGAGGTAGGACAAATAGGATTTACAAAAATATTGAACATAAGTTTAAAGAGGTTATGGTTTCATTGTTGAGTTCACTGGTTAGGTCTCATTTGGAGCATTGTATTCAGTCTTGTGCTCTTACTTTAAGAAGGGCATTAAACTGTTGGAAATGGTTCAACTAGTAGGATGATGCTTCGGATAGAAAGGTTGTCATATTAGGATCTCCAAAATTGTTTTTTTTTGATAACATGACATAATGTCTTGGGACAACATGGGACCTATTGGTCTCTCTCGACTGTTCCATCCTCTAAACCAAATTAAAATAATTTTAAAAACTTTAAAGCCAATCCTTATCATTCATATACTTATCATGCCTTTTCTTGAACTCACTTAAATTTACTGCCTCTACAATAAAAGAAGATTGAGGTGTTTAAGATTGTAAACAGAACTGATAATATTGATACACAAACTTTTTTAATAC